ATTACCAAATATCACACATACGCCATGTGGCCGGGCCTCCGAAAAAAAAAAACGGGGCAGAAAAGGCAAGGAAAAAAGTAAAGCAGAAAACGTGAAGCGAGGCGAAAGGCCAAGAAGAAAGCATTCTCAAAGTATTTGATACCCTGTGCGGCAGTAATGAAGATACTTTTCAGAGGGATAAACAGAGATACGATCATCCTCGCGGGGTGTTCCCTAGGAAGAGCCTCTTTAACCGAACTCAAGAAATGATCAGGAGTGTGATCGGACTGCCCTGCCCTTCCGGAAGGTGCATCCCCGGGGGCCAGTCCGGCCGGGGGTCCCTGAAAGTCGATAACCCTAAATGGCCCCAAGAGCAATAGAGAGCGAAAAGCAAATGCAATTTAATAGCCGGGTAGACCGAACATCCCGTGTGGCAGTGCAACGGCGATATTCAGATTACACGATACGCGACGGTGGATGTGGATGTGGATGCCACACCCTGCGTCTAGGCTCCATCCATTTGGGGGGGTCCTGCGGCCCTCACGTCGCACATTAATGGCACTCACGGAGGGGGCGGGGCGCAAGAAAAACCAGCACAAAATAATTGTTTTCCGTTGGGCAATAATTTTCTATACCTTTAGTCGCTCCCATACCCCCAATCCCAATCCCAATCCCATTTCCATTCCCTTGGCACTTGCTTTGCCCCTCAATAAAAACGTGTGTGGGCGTGGCAGGAAAGAGGAGTGTGGGGGGGGGGGGGGGGACGAGTGTACTTTATTTCGCCCAACAAATTGAGTTAAGTGTAAAAATACAAAGGGAATAATAAAACAACAGCAAATGCAAAAAGCCAAGCCCTTTGCTAAGTAGCAAACGAGAGAAATGAGAACGAGGGGAACGAGGGGAACAGGTGGAGTACGAAAAGGGGGGGCAGGTGGCAGGGAAGCCGTAACAGATTGAGATACTGAGGGCAATCTCTAATGGAACAAATGAAAGTGCAACAAAATAGGGGAACCAATTGAAGTGGAACACAAGAACGGAACAAATGAAATTGAAACATAGAAACGAAAGGGTTTTATGTAAAACGTTTGCACATCACCCTTGGAACAATTGGAATGAACCAAAGGGGAACAGTTGGTTAAGGGCTTTATTTGAAGTGTTTAATGAAGTCTTTTGGAACAATTGGAATGACACATAAGGGAACAGTTGCTAGTATAACACTTAGGGGTTTAATTGAAACGTTTGCTGATCACCATTGGAACAGTGGAATGCAACACAAGGGAATAAATGCGAGTACAACACCAAGGGTTTTAATTGAAACTTTTGCAGATCACCCTTGCAACAATAGGAATGAAACATAGGGGAAAAGTTGCGAGTAGCACACTAAGGGAAATGGTACAAGAGGACCGCAGTAAACACTAGGAGAACAAATGGAAGTGAACGAAGCAAGTCCCAGACAAAGCATTTAACTTTTGAAATAATGCAAAGAGAACGAACGAAAGTTGAAACACCATCTCAGATCAGGTGGCACGTGGAAATGGAACAGCAAAATGCGTAGTTTCTTATGCGCTACGAAAATCTATCTATCAGGCATTTGGGTTCTGGATTCATGATGTAATTTTAATGCTCCCCCGTTATGCCGTTCCTCCAGAGGTCTTTGTTTGTTAACATCCCACAGCCACACACCCATCCCATCTCGCTCCCTCTCTCTGGGTGTGTGTCTCCCTCACTCCGCCTTCACTTGACACACCGTTAATGAGGCCACAAAACGAGCCCTCAAATGACCAACAAAAAGTGAGACAACAAAAGCAAAAGACACTCGCTCGAAAGACGCCACAAAAACATTGTTGCGGCGGCAATTGTCTTGTTTCTTGTAGAGGCAGGTGTGGGAGGGGGAGCTGCCACAATGTTGCATCCTCTTCGAGTTGGGCCCCATTTAGAGGTAATTTTATGGTGCCCGTTTACCGAAAGCATCAAGCATCATTCCATTCCACCAACAGCAGCCGAAAGAAACTCCACTTCGGAATGAAATGCCTTTTTAAAACAAGAATTATTAGCCCCTGCTCTGGCCTTGGGGCTGGCCGACTCATCCGCCTCTAAACTACTGGAAAGAGGGAGCTGGGGGCTTTTGCCCTTAATTCCATTTCCCATTTCCATTCCAAGCAAAAAAAAACAAAAAGAAAACCAAGTGTAAACTTTCCTCTGCCGGGACGAAGGACGAATCTGTGCGCCTTAGTTAGGGGTCTTATGTGGCGCGATAAATGGCTGGCTGCCCAGCCACACACATGCTTCGGTTTAGGGAATTGCGGTCAGGGGATTTCCGCAGAGAGGGAGAGGGAGAGAGCTCCACAATGTTGGCCAAGGGTTTGACTTTGATTTTGGCCAAAGTCGTGTCTCTCTTCGCCATTTTGCGGCCAAGGATACATGTGCCTTAAAGGCAAATGGAAAAACAGAGACTCGGCGAAACGACTAGGGGAAGTCCACTGAAAGAGTAGGAGATGCTTAAAGAAAGGTATCTGCAGTTCAGGGAAGGTCTACCAGGAGGGCTCAGGGCATTAGCGAAAGCAGCATCATGTGTTCCCCGAATCCATCAGCATTTGCTTGGAAGCCACTACCCGAATACCTTTCCGAGCAACAAAATAAACATAAAAACTCTAATTAATTTGGAAGCCCACACACACCCCCAAACACAGTCGGGAGTGAAAAATATTCATCTTATCTACGGAAGGGAATAGCTCCCATGGCGCATAACCCAAAGAATTTTTCCATCATTTTTATGGTAAATGAAAACATTTGATAATGGAAATTGTTTGGAAAATTAACTGCAGCTGCAGCTCTCGACCCCAGCAGGGGCGAAAATGGAAAAGCACAAGTTTATTACACAGAGAGAAAGAGAGATATGGAGGGAGAGAAGAGGAGAGTAAGAGAGTTTTGCGGTTGGAAAATATTCTGCAACTGCAATTTTCCTTTGCATTCCATTTTCTTCTACCTTTTGCAAAAGAAAAACCCCTCTTTCAATTTTGTTTAGAATTTACTTCAGTTTTAAATTGTTTTTCTTTTTTTATAATAAGATTACAAAAAAAACATCAAAAAAGAGAATTTATGTTTTATGCATTATTAAATATTAATAAACAAATAAATATATTATCTTTAAGCACTCGCCACTCGCTGGTGCCTCGACGAAAACATTGCCACTCGTTGGTTTGTCCTTCAATTTCATAGCTAGTCCCTTCGCAGATTTGTATCTCTTATTTAGATACCCTTCCATGGCTCTAAGTAATCCAATGAATTATAGAAATATATAGATAGTGTCTCTAGCCACTCGCCACTCGCTGGCTCTCCTGCCTCATGTGCCCCTCGACAGAAACATTCCCACTCGCTGGTTTGTCCATCAATGAAATTGTATTCTTTTCGTTCATAATCCTTTAAATGGCTCTAAGTAGTCCCATGAATTATAGAAATACTCTCTCCACATTATAGTGCCTCTAGCCACTCGCCACTCGCTGGCTCTCCTGCCTCATACATGCCTCGACAGAAACATTCCATGTACTATCTACTCTTTTCGCCGATTTGTATCATTTCATGGCTATAGGCAACCCCTTGATTTATAGAAATACTCTCTCCACATTATAGTGCCACTAGTCCATAATTTGTTGTATTTTTTCGTGCAGTATAAATCATGATTAAACAAAAAACAAAAGGCATTCATGTCGGCCTCAAAGTCACCGAAAAGAGAGGACATTCAACTAACGATTGACACGTTTTGTGCCAGCAAATGGGGCAACGAGACGCACAGGTAGGCGACCCTCTAGAGGCGCTCCCTGGACCGGAGGAGACCCTGTCACTGAGCCACCCTTGAGTGGGGTCCTGTGCGTGAGTGATCCAAGAAAATCCAGACAAATTGCCGTGCATCAATTTGATGCTGCATTTTGTCATCAAAATATATTGACGAGGCTCTCTATCTGCTTTAAGCACCGAGAAGGATAGCAGCGTCTGTGCCTAGGACTTAAATGGCAATCATGAGAGTCGAGTCCTTAGCTAACCTGCGGTTCATTGCCCTCAGCGAGTGGCGCCCTCGGTGTGGCGTTAATCAGACTCGTGGCGTAAAAGAATAACCCAAATCAGAAGCGATTTGTATGTCTTTATCTTTAGTGTCCTTCGTCCTTCGTCCTTCGACCTCACGGGGCGCCGCTCCTCTGTCATCATTTGTTGCATGAGTAATCGCATGGTAAAGTGCCTGCAAATGGGCTCCTGGTCTCTGTGGCTGTGCCCATGATTTGATGGGGGTTGCAACATGTTGCAACTAGATGCCACCACCTCTGGTACACTTTTTTGCGCCACATTTAAGCCTCTCTGTCTCTCTCTCTCTCTCTCTCTCTCTCTCTCGTTCTCTTGAATTGTTATGAGCGGACATAAAAACAGAGAAGGCGAGATATGGCAAGCGATAAAGCGATGCATGCCGCACATGCCGCATGGAAATGCAACACCACATGTGTGTGGGGGGGGGGGGTGGTCATAACTTGAGGCGCCATTTAACTGCATTGCGTGTCGGGCGTCCCGAATGAGGGCAGAAACGACACCGAATTGTGGCAGAGATATCCAGGAGAACAGGTGCCCTCAAGTGGCCTCAAGAGCCCTCAAGAGAGCCATGCATGTATCCCGAATATCCAGAAAGACATGACTTGAATGTACCCCGGCACAAGCCAACGGATGTATCCCCAAAAGATACTCGGCACAGTGGCATCTTCCGACGTCTTCTGATCATCAAGCAACAACCCCATCTGGCACATTCAAGCCATTATCTTGGGGTCTTGGCTTTTGGGCTTTTGATAACAGCACAACAGAGAGAGCGAGAGAGAGCGAGAGAGAGACATCTGTGACCAGCAGACGCTGGCGTATCGTATGACCAGCCAAAAGGGGGGACACGTCATCCCTAGATCAGAGAGAGACCCAGAGTTTGATAAGCAACGAATCAAATAAAACCCGCTAACCTGCAGAGAGAGCCACTCAGTTGTGTGTCGGTCGTGGCGGAAGAACATGGAACGTTGGCAGAATCGTGTGGCAGTGATAAGTGGCGCCAGCTCGGGCATTGGGGCCGCCTGTGCCCGTCTACTGGTGGCCGCTGGACTGCAGGTGGTGGCTCTGGCCCGGCGCACCGATCGGCTGGAGCAGCTGCGCCAATCGCTGCCGCAGGAGCAGCAGAAGCTCTTCCATCAGCGGACGTGCGACGTCTCGCAGGAGTCGCAGGTGAATGGCACCTTCGAGTGGATCGAACGGGAGCTGGGGGGCATCGATGTGCTGATCAACAATGCGGGCATTGTCCTGGGCGGCCAGCTGATCGATATGCCCACCCAGGAGATCGGCAATGTCCTGCAAACGAATCTCATGGGCAGCATCTACTGCACGAAACTGGCCGCTGGCAGCATGCGGCGCCGCCAGGTCCCAGGACATTTGTTCTTTGTGAACAGCACCGCCGGTTTGGCCGGCTACAAGCCGGATCCGGCCGATGAGAGCCTCAATGCGTACACCCCCAGCAAATTCGCCCTCACGGCGGTCCACGAGATATGTAGACAGGAGCTCATAGCACAAGGATCTAGGATCAAGACAACGGTGAGAAAATTGAAGATCTGCTGCTCTGGGGGATCTTTGTAGCGCGTCATGCAGCAGCGCCCCACGGTTGGACTGTTGTTGGACTTCTAGTGTTTTCAAGAGATTTATGAATGAAATCATTTTAGACAATATTTATGGGATTACAATCGTCATAGAGATCATAGAAAAGAGATCTTTTACTCCATAACAAGAGTATTTTCTTCCCTTTGAGAGATCACTTCTTATAAATATCATTTCTTATGGTTATTCATTGATGTTCTAGCTCTGGATTTCGTTCCACAGCTGCTCCCTTTCTTACAGTTCCTTCATTGGAAATCTCAATAGTTTATTATAATTTATTCGGTAATTTTCGAGTCATTCCTAACAGAAAATCTGTTATTTTCAGAGCATCAATCCCGGTTGGGTGGCCACCGAAATCGTGCCAGACGAAACCAAAGAAAAGCTGGGCGATGTGATACTCCAGGCGGACGATGTGGCCCAGGCAGTGCTCTATGCCCTCTCCACGCCGCCCCATGCCCAGGTGGAGCAGATAACGCTGCGAGCCGTTGGCGAATACTTTTGATAAGAGAGCACCCCACCGCCCCCCCCTCCAGATAACAGATTAAACAAAGCCCCACACCACCCCGTAGTGGCTGTAAGCACTGTAATCGACACTCATTGGCAATCAAATGAGAGAGAGCAATGAGAGGGGGAAACGACCTCAGATACAGATACAGATACAGATACAGACATTCAAGTGGGAAGGTGTTTTCCACACTTCCTATCTCTCTCGCTCTCTCTCTCTCTCTCTCTCTCTCTCTCTCTTTCGTGTTCCATTTCGTATTACTTTTATTTTTATTGTAACTGTTATGATTATTCGACTGTTGTCGACCTGTTCTTTCGGTTAGTCAACAATTCTGTGGCCCAATCAATAAATCAGTTTTAATAATTTAATAAACGAACCGCAAAATGGGCCTCGAATCGACGTCAATTGTGCAACGTGGTCCTGCGAGATTTACAGATATTTACCTCATCCTGCCTCAGCGCTGAAGCAAAAAGTAAAGCACGAGCAGGCACGAGAGTGCAAAAACAAAATAGTATATCTTTGTATCCGATTCTAAGCACTTCTATGTGGAAAAGGCAGAAGATACGATTGCCAGCATCTCTATGAGAGGCTATTGGATATCGGCCGATGGGGAATATGTAATAAGAAGAGTCTATGGGGATATGGCGAAGGATCTATGGCGCATATCTTCCAAAAAGGTAATTTTTAAAGGAAATTCCCTAGATAAAGGAATAAATATTGACATATATATATTGCTGAGATTTCGAATTGTTTTTAATTTGTGTATAAATTGGGAAACCCTCTAAAAACTGGAGATACTATTACAAAGGGCCAAGTCCTTTCCAAAGGCCATTTGATGAAAGCTCTCGGCTGCATATTTTTAAATAAGTTTTTGGAAAACAATTTGTGTGATTAAATGAAGTCAGACACATGTCTGGATGTTCCACCACCAACCCACCATCCATCCATCCATCCATCCATCCATCCGTCCGATCTGCCACAAACTTTTTAATACACTTTTAGATGCGGCAGCGGCGTAGTTTTTGGTTTAGCCAGAAGTTTTTGTACACAAAGAGAGGGGGGGAGACATAATTATAGAATTCCATATGGGAAAGCCAGAAATCTAGAGCTTAAGGCTTATAGGTGGCCACACACACTCGTGCTCGTATCTGTGTGATAATATCGCTAGACATACGATTCGGTGCTTCATTGTGGAGCCTGTAATTGCATTCGCCAGTCGCAAGGCGAGAGGGGGGCACTGCCAAAAGCTTCAAACCGTTTTTAAGTCAAGAATATCAAGGATATCAAGGACCAGGCCCAGACCCGCCGTCCGCAACATAATTATTTTTATTTAATTTGTGAAAAGTCGCGGAATTTATTTTTATTAATTTTTTTTGGGGAATCTTTTAATGACAGGACACCAAAGAAATTTTTGGAGGCCTCGAAAAAGTTTTTATGTGTTCCAAGACCCGCATTTCTCATGATTTCTTCGAGGAAATACTGAAAAATCCTTGGGGAAATATGTTCCCAAAAGAGAGCAATTTTGGACCCAAAAAAAGAGCCACGTATTACATTTCCCCATCAAGGGTATTCCCGTCGTCGTTTTACAGCCTCCAGTTTTGTGTTTTTGTGAAATTCCAGACGGAAGGAGGATGGCGCGAGTCTTGCGTGTGTGTGGGCCTTGCCTGCGAGTTTTCCCAAGGACTGTCTGCCAGTTAGACAAGTTTCTCCCTTTGTGTTTCTGCCCCCACTCCCCCCCCCCCATCCACCAAACACACAGGAAAACTGCCTCGGCACTTCACTCATTTCCGGCATTTTGTTTTAATTAAATTTATAACAAATGTCATATATGGCGGCAGAAGTTTTATATCCTCCACGTCCTCCCTCTCTCTCGGGTACCAGCAGGCCATAGCCATTGCAGTTTTGTTTGGGGACTCTCTCAACAGCCGCGAAAACTATCAAGCCAAAAGCTGAAGGTCCCATGGGGCCTTCAACGGATTAAATTTGTAATTTATGCAGTAGATGCGGGCCATTAAGGAGACATGGTCTTAAATTTTGAGGTAAATTAAGTTCATAAATTGTGGCAGAACGTCGGCTGGCTCTCGCTCTCTCTTTCTGCCCCGATGTGGCTTAGCTCTTTGGAAAATTTCTAATAACAATATTTCTTTCAATTATTTGCCCCCCTCTCCATTAACCTTTGGCCGACGCCCAAAAATTGTGCTCGTAATTGCATTTAAGAGAAACTCCAACGAAAAGTAGTTTGATTTTCATGGATTTTTCCGGCCAGAGGCAATTTTTAATTTCATTTTCGAGCAGGAGGCTCTCATGTTTATGGCATTTTTAGGCCACTCGACTGGCTTCGAACCTTCTATGGCTTTTGGCCCGGTCAAATGTGACCATCGTGTTCCATCGTCCTTCCGTTGAATGCAATCTGTGGAGGATGCATTGTTGTTGTTCGTTTCTCTGGTTCTCTCTGGCATCGACATACACACTTTTGGGGGGCACACGGCATACGGTTGCTTCTGGGACCAAAGGCTCTTCGACTCTTCGGCTATTCGGCTCCCCCCCTCTTTCCCTCACACAAACAAAGGCCGACCATATTCTGCCTGTCTCAGAACCAAACCAAGATTCAGCAGCGACAAACTCCAGAGTACCAACTTGGCTGTGAATCGTCTGCCTGGGGTGGAGGCATTTGAAATACTCGTATTAATTTCCATTTTCCATACAATGCCAGGCGACTCCAACGGGCTGCCAGGGGCTTTCGCCCCAGAGGAGGCACAAGGCAGGGATTGATGGGAGTCCCCAATGCGCACACAAAATCCGTTCAAATAATAAATACACATAAACGCCAATCAAGTGGCACACATACACAGGTATCCAAAGAGTTGGGGAGAGCGAAGGGCCAGGGACTGGCACAGGGCCAGAAAAAACATTGACATATGCATGTGGCAATAGTCGTTCCGTTTGCATTGCATTTGCATTTGGGGAAGACAAAGGAAGTGTCTGCTCAACGGATACAATGGCTGCAAGATACATTTGTCGATGGCTAAAGTGGCATTAGGCTTAGAGCTTCGTAATTTCGTAATTTCATAATTGAATCGAGGGATGGCCGCAATTGTGATTGCTCCTAATCCTTGAGCTTAGCAAAAGGTGGGCAGTAAACAAAATAAATTATTACCGATTCGATGCCAAGAGCTCTTGAGGCCTTTGTGGGGCAGGCAGATGGTCATTTTCGTGGGTCTAAGCTCTAAGCTGCCAATGAATGGCATTTTAATCCTTTAATTGTTTTGTAAATGTTTCGATTTTAGTTGAAATTCATAGAGAAAATTCATGAATTCATTGAATTTCGAATGTGAGGAGATTTTGCGACTTTGTGGCAACTCTGGCAGAGGTATGGAGCCGCCATCTGTAAAGGGTTGCCTCACGAGTTGCATTTCGAATGTGTCTACCCGAAAGAGGCGTCTGTGAGGAGATTTTGCGACTCTGTGGCAACTCTGGCAGGGGTATGGAGATGCCATCTGTAAAGGGTTGCCACTCTGACCATTCGATTAAAGAGTTAAACCTTTCTTTTCGCCTGTAAAACCATAAATATTTGCCTTTTCCATTTATCTGGGGACTCGTAAACTAAAAAAGAGAGTTGCCATCTGTTAGGTGTTGCCACTCGAGCAGCATTTCGAATGTGTTGGCTCGGATGAGGCGTATGTGAGGAGATTTCTCGACTCTCTGGCAACTCTGGAAGGAGAATGAAGATGCCATTCCATTTATCTGGTGGAATCTCCCATCTGTAAGGGGCTGCCATCTACAGGCAATCCTCGTATTTATTCATCAGACTTCTCTCTCGAATGGAAACGGAGATGCCACCTGTAAGGAGATGCCACATACAGCTCGGCCAGACCTCTAATCATCACTTAGTCACCTATAAATTAAGGAATTGGGGTATTTAGGGAACTAATGAGACCACATCAAACATCAAATGCATAGCTAATTGGTAACTGAATAGCTTTCTTGGCCAACGCCTGCAACGGCACACACACACACACATTGGGGCATTGCCATGCGATACGATGCGACTGATTAATTAGCGAATTGCTAATTCAAATTAAACGCAAAGTCCTCAAAGTTGCAGGCTCCAATAATTGCAGGCGCGCCCACATGATGCAGCGTATTGGATGACGCTTTCGTTTGCATGATTATGAACTTTCAGTTCACTTCTATGGGGTTTTTCTCAACAGACAGGAACGGACAGAACCAAGCAGGGGTAAAGAGGCCATGGAAAGTTTTACGGACCGGGCATTTCCCCCGGGCGTTTTTTTGGGCAGAAAGTTTTTCCATCTCTGGTTTTTCTCTCTGCCAACACATACAATGGGGGGTACTCGTAGAATTTTTTGCTCTGCCTTGAAGTTCGTCCTCAGCTTTCCTTCATTCATTCGGCGTTTAAGGATCTCCTTGGCTGGTGGCATGACACCCACAAATCGGCGGCCAAACCAGCAAGGGATCTGGGCCAAAATATGCCATCCAAAGGGGGCTCAGACGAGAGGACAAGTGAGAAAAGGAGAGACGGCTCTCAGCTCAAAAAGAGGGCTGCCACTGCAATGTTGCCACCTTTTCCGTTTGAAAACCCAATCGGAATGAAAGCCCAAGACATCTCCACTTTGAAGGCTAATTAAAAACATATATGTGGTACTTAAACAGAATTAATAATCAATCAATCAATCAGTTCTCAAGTGCATTTTCAGCACTTCTGTAATGCCTCGTCTGCCCCCGTCTTAAGGGAAATTAAATGCATTTTCTTGATTTGATATTAAAGGGGGAAAGGACTTTGCCCTTGCGGGTCCTTGGCTGCTCTTAAACCGCTTAGTGGCGACACAGAAGTCACCAGACCATAGAGAGCGCTTGTGGAGCATAAGAAAGAGAGCACAGGACACAGGACACAGGACATCGAGTGGCAGAGCGACGGCTCAGCTTCCGTTTCCGTTTGCCTCGCTAGATCTCGTGGTCGTCTGTTTGTCGGGCATGTCGTCATCCTTTTTAAATATGAGAAATTTCCAACACTTTTAGCCGAGCACAGACCACACCAAGGAGTCCCCTTTTGACCCATTTTGTTGACCTGTTGACTTGAGCAATTGATTTTTATTTTATTTGAACATTTCATCGTCTCGAAATCGATTGATTATTGATAGGCCTGAAAGGCGCTCTGTCATGCCCGTACAAATTGTCAGCGCCAGAGCCGTTGCCATTGCTTCCTGGGCCTCGATGGTGGGCCCAAGGGCCACTCCATCGCCCCCGTAACTCACTTAACGGAGGATTTTATGCAATGAAAATGACGAAGGACCTGCAAAAAAAAAAACGCCAGAGAGAGGAGAGGCTGCCTGCATCTCTCAAAGGGTGAGAGGCTGC